ATTTAAACACAAAATATTCACTTGGCTTGCATTTTAAGCCACATCAAAGAGTTCTTGATGGGGGGCGCGGGGGGTTGCAATTTTAGAGGTGTATAGGTCCTGTAGAGAAGGTAGGTAAAAGCCAATTACCTTCTCGGCAAAGCGATGATACAATGCAGTCTGTTCAGGTTCCTCGTGGTGGCAGCAGCATACCAGTCTAAGATAGAGGCGTGAGGATAGAATCGATTATGGAGGTGTAGAAGTTCACCATCATTCTCTTTGTCATTTTTACCCAGGTCAGCTGCCTCAGGAAGTGCATCCTCTGCTGTGCTGCTTTTGATGAAGAAGATGATGTTCAGCTCCCATTCCAGGTCCTGAGTGATGATGGTTCCCAGGAAGCATAAGTGTTCATCCACAGTGGAATCACCCAAAGTAATGGTTTTTGGAGTTTTTAGCAGAAATTTGGAAGACTTTTTGTGTCTGATAGACACAGTGGCGAATCTTCATATATGATTTTTGTCTGAAAATCCAAGGTGCAGCATTTTGAAGACTCAGTTCTTCAAACTCCAGCCTTTTTGGATTGGCAAGAGAAGAAAGTCTGATCAAGAAAGGTGGTTCTTGTTCACTATGATAGTGAACTGTTCCTTGGCACCATTACACAGGTCAGTAGATTTTTTTTTGCCTGTATCGACATGTCATGTTGTTGATAATAATAAATCTTAAATTCTATTCCGTTATCTTGTTTTACTATCCTTTTAGATTGCCGATGGCCAATACGAAGTACACACACTGTGCCGGCCTAAACCAGTTTTTCCATTCCGTCAGTCTGCTATGAGGGAGAAAAGGTGTGGCACTACTGTGAGGACATTAAGGCCAGGATCCCAGAGCCACAACCTACAACGTCGGCGGAAATCTGGGCAAAATTCACTGATGAGTAGGTAGGAACCATTTGCTTTGCATTTATTTTTCACATAATATTTTGATTGTGTTTAAAAAATAGAAAAATTATGTGCATCGCATGCTTTAACGTTTACCAAATCATTTAAAAAGATGTTACATGTTATTGTAGAGTTTCACATAATTATGTGCGACAATTAATCCGTTTTGAAAAATTTAAAAAATGGTTCTTGATGGTTTCAGACCATTGCGGTAATGAGATTTTTTAAAACATGTTCAAAGCTGTTCAAAAGGGTATTAAATTGTCAGTAAATATTTTAAAAACAACAATCATTACCACTGCAGACTGAAATTAATGGTTAAAAGGAGCATGTGTTGATCCAGTTCAAGGTTGAAGAGTTACGTTAGGCAACTGGACATTAAAAAAATTCCATGTCTCCAATCTTTGAAACCAAGCTTTCATGATAATGACCACAATGACCCATCATGTGATATATATGTATACATACATACAAATATGTATTCATACGCATATATATACATATATGTATACATGTATTAGTATATACATATATATAGACATTGTAAATTGGACCTGATCTAACAGGTCTGTTTACAGCCATGAAACACCAAATCAGTGATGTTTTTGTTTCTTTATTGAAAAACACACATCTACATAAAAAATGTGTAATAAACAGGGGAAAGTAATCATTGTTTTTTTTTTTGTTTTGTTTTTTAAACATGGCAGATATTTACTGTGCTGTACGACAATCTGGTCTCAGCCTCTTGAAAAACTCATGGAGCTGAAAGATGGAACTGGGAAGGTATGTGTTACTTAAAAGTTTTGTGTGCCAAGTTTGGGAACGGAATATTTGTTTATGACATATAAACATAAGGCCCCAAATTTAACCAAGTATTTCAGATGTGTGCCTTTTTAAATAATGTACCCTCATTTACTCGACGTGCGTCAGAAATATGACCAAAAATCGTTTAAAAAAAAAATCAATTTTTACATTTTTAATCCTTCTCTTTCTTTGGGAGTGTACTGTTTTAGTGTGTATTCACAAAAAAACAGTATCAAACCTTTTGTGCAAAGAAAATTTTAAGAGTAATTCTGCTGCAATCACCCAATGTGAGCTCAGCCTGCTGATGAGTCCAGTTTGTTTTTGAATATATTTTGGTAATCCAACCAGTGCAGGTGATGAAGCCATTGATTGAAGCTAAGCCTCTAACACTAAAGTATGTTAGTGTATATTTACAGTACTTGAAAAGGGGGAAAACGATTGCACACTCAAGTTTCGATTGTTTTAACATACAAATGTAACCAAACATGGTCATGATTATCATCTGACTCACTCGATTAAGTGCTCGGTTGAATGATTAGCGCCTGTGTTTCAAACACAGTGAACCAGGGTTTACATGACGCTGATCTGTTTTTAAAAAACAAAATGCACATTGTAATACCTTGTGTTCTGGCACTGCTGGTTGCTCTCATGTCTGGGACTTAGGCTTTGGTATATCATTTAGTAAACAAGGGAAGGGGAGATTTTGAAGTTCTGTAGCTTAAAAAAAAATAGTCCCGTTTACTTGAGAGCTCTGGTTTGAGCGATTCTCTGGAATGTGTGGTAGCACCTGAAAGTCTGACGTCGACATGTCTGATTCAGTCTGAAAGAACCTCCCTCTCTGGGACAAAGAACAAACAAAAATAGACCATCTTTTGGGGGAGTAGGGGGAAGGGGGGCAACACAGTCTGAACAAGTACATTCCATATGACCTGAGTTTTTGGTGGTGGTGAAGCAGGGCAGTAAAATAGAGGGAATAAGGGACAGTTATGTGCTTTGTCTTTGCCTATTTGGTCTCGGCGTGAACAGCTGATATTAGCATTTTATCATCAACCTCAGACAGGGTTTTAACAGGTAAGAGTTCTGTGTTTTGTGAAGTACAGTTTAGAGCATATGCTGGCATGATTTCACAGCAGGGATCAGAAACCAAATTAGGTTCTAAAATCATCCTTTAGATAAGACTTTCCCAAATCAAATACACGGTTCAAAAACCGGCAGCGAGCCAAGGAACCAAAATATTTTAGATGAACGTTGCAATGGCAAACTATGGCCCGGGGACTTGATTCGGCACGTTTGGCCTTTTAACCTGGCCCGCCGAACTTGTCCAAATTATGTTATTAATTTATATTATCATTTTAATCTGTCTTTTCCCTGCAATGTCTGCATTTCCCCAATAGATGGCGTCGAAAAGGCTGAAAACATTTTAGCCTTTATGCATGACTTTTACATGTCATTAATCTTAGTTCAAATAAACGTTCCAGCTATCTGCTCCTGACCTGGCCCCCAAGTCAAATTTTACGACCCATTGTGGCCCGCGAGCCAAATTCGTATTAAAAAAAAGGATTGGCCTGCGGCTAACACAACAATTTTTCAAATATGGGATCAATATAGTCCAAATATATTTGTGATATATTTGGTGTGGTCACAGTGTTTGGTTTGTGTTACACACAACTCAGAAGGCTCTCTCCTGTAGAGCGGCCATAATCCAATTCTACCCTGTGACCCTGTTTGGTTTCTGGTCCCAGAGCTGAGAAATTTTACTATGCCTTCTGGGTGTCGCCTATCCTGCTACACACAGACACTGTGACGCAGATACATTTCTTAGAAAAAGAAAAACAAACAGCCTATTATCTTTTCTGATCTGGTTCTAAACCAGTGCAATACTGTGGTTAATGAGTGGAGCAGGTTCTTTTTTTCCACATGTTTAAATACTGTATGTGAAATGTTCCTGTCCTTTCAGAGAAGCTTATATACGTAGGTGTGTTTACACTAAGTGAACACAGAACAGCTAACAGATCTGGTTAGTGAGATTATGTGATTATTTTATCTCATATGTTTCTCTTGACAAGCTTGTTTTGGACTTTTTTTATTTTTTATTTAATTATCTCATATTATCTTGAGAAAACATCCAGCAGCTACGTAACAGTAATTTGAGCAGTTGTCTCTTTTTAATTTCTTTTTTTAATGTTTTGCAAAAACAAAAAAAAAACAAGCAAAGCTATTGTTTTTAAGGTGAAATCACGGTACAGAGGAGGAGGTAAAGGTTAGTGACGGGTAAAAGGAGGCTGTACCCAAGGTCCAAAGTGGGGAACAGCAGGATGTTGGTACCATTATTAGTTTATACCCAAACTAGACCTTGGGCGCTCCCTGCTGGCTAATGTTAAGATTAACGGAGTGCAAGTTTTTTTTTGTTTTTCTTCTTTTTTTTATCCCTCCAAAACAACTGTCTAGTTGAAATGTTCCTTTTGTTGTGGGTTTTGTTTCAGGATACCTGAGGACTAACTGGTGAGGAGAACGCGCGCTGAGCCGCTAGCATCGTTCCCGGCGTCTACGTCGTGGCTCTGACCGTCTGTGCTTTTATCTGTGCTTCTGTCAGCGGAGGTTGTGAAGGTAGGTAGTGGTGCAGTGGGCAAGGCTGGCGTCACCTGAGGTGCGGGGCTGTCGCCGCCGTTCAAACCGGAGTTGGCTGAGGAGCAGGACAAAGGGGAGGGAGGCGAGAAGAAGGAGGAGCAGAGGAGTTTGACAGGGCAGAAGGCGGAGCCTCGTGGAATGAAGTTCACCTTGTTTTTGTCGGGGCACGAGAATAGAGGGAAGCCTTTTGATTTGCCAGACCTGAGGAAAGCACAGGCAGAATTAAGGACTTAACAGCTGCATGGTCCACAGACCTTTGTCTAGACTGAAAAAAACATTTCATTTGTGTTAACATTGTGTTACATTTTGTTAGTTAGTTGTAACAACTACTGTCCTAGTGGGGAGTTTCCAGGTATTTATCCACCCCAAAGGGGGTGGGGGAGGGTGATGTCAAGTAAGGTGGCCATGGGCCTGAACAATATGACCGTTAAATGGTGATGTGAGTGGCTGGCCCTATGGTGGATCGTTTCCCCCTCCCTGTCCTCTGGGTGGGGGTTGTTGGTGTGACTTTATAGAAGTGTGAGTTACGTCTGTACTTCCTGGGGAGAGAACTAAGGACGGCAATGTAGGTGGGTGACTGTTGGTGTCTGAGGCGCCCCCCTGTGTTCAAAGATGGTCTTTCCAGTTTAACATGGATGGCTTCCTTCACCCCTCTCTTTTGGCCATCAAAGGAGTGGCCCTTCTTCTTCAGGTGGAAGTGGACTGCTGAGTCCTGGCTTGATGTTGTGTGGGTTCTGTGTTGAGCCATACACTTGTGTAATAGCTATTCTGTTTCCCTAAGCATTTCTCATTGCACTGTACTGCATACACCACATTGCTCTGTTTGTGGCTGGCAGTCTTGTCCTTAGTTTCTGCCTCAGGGTGTTGCTGGGTGCTGAAACTTCTGCCACATATGGGATGACAGTGTTGTTTCTCTGCTGGGCTTCTTGGCTGTTTAAGCAAACGCCCAGTTGTGATAGCCACAGTTCTGGAGTGCTATGTGTTTGTGGTACCTTCTGTTGCCTCCTGATTCTGAGGGAGTGTTTTGGGCTCTGTGCTGAAGGGTCCGGACCACCCCCAATTTGTGTCATCTAAGTGGATGATGTGAATCAAACAGAAGCTACTGATTGGTGTTGGGTGGTTTTCTATACACACAGCACTACAGAACTGTGGCTATCCAAACTGGGCGTTTGCTTAAACAGCCAAGAATCCTGGAAGGAGAAGAAAGATGATGAAGCCCAGAAGAGGAATAACATTGTCATTCAATATGTGGTAGGAGTTTTCTAGCTAGAGAGGACAGATGGTTTGAGAGAGGGGTGAAAGAAGCCCTCCATGTCAAAATGGAAAGACCATCTTTGAACAGAGGAGGGAGGAGCCTCTGACACCAATTATCACCCACCTAGAATGCTGTCCTTAGTTCTCTCCCCAGGAAGCACCTCCATTCAGGTAACTCCAACGACCCCCAACCAGAGGACAGGGAGGGGGCCAACAACTCACATGACCACTTAAAGGTCATATTGTTAGGGCCCACGGCCACTTTACGCAACACCACACCCCCCTTTGGGGTGGATGGATACCTGGAAACTCCCCACCAGGACAGTAGAACTGATGAAGCCTCTTGGATGAGAGGATGCTACACTACGGTGAAGTTAAATGATGAAAAACATGGCATCAGACAACAGTAACCCTTTGTCATTCTCTATGGGTAACTAATACTAATTGTTTTGTTCATTTTCTGTGGTTGTAATATAGCCAGTAGGTGGCAGCATTACAACTCAACTCATTATCATTGTAAGAGTTGGATCTGTTGACTGAAAAATAAAATCATAAAAATCATTTCTGTGACTTTTCTTTTTCTTACTAGCTATGGTGTTATATGTGACTTTATATCAAATTATATTATGGGGCCATTATTGTTTTTCACCAACATATTATTACAGACAATGACGTCACTGTTGCCCATTAGCCACTGGGCAACAGTGACGTCTTTGTGCTCTGTGTGATCCAAACAACTTGGACCATTTCTTTTAAATCAAGGGTCTCAAACTCAAATGTGCCAAAGGCAATTGATGCCACTGTCACTTCACTGTGGGGGCCCAATCAGTTATCAATGGTCAACACACAAAAAGAATATTTTAGAAAAAGTAGGGGTTTGTTTGTTTAATCTAATACAATGAAATAACACACCTAATAAATGAACAAATAACAGAAGTTAAAATAATAATTAATAAATAATTTTGAAAAACATGTCAACAGCTAAATTAAAACATTATTATTTGGTTCCATCTAAGCTGGATTTTGGGGGTTTGCTGGCCATAAGTGGACCACAGGCCAAGAGTTTGAGACCCTTGTTTTAAATACAGCAGCAGCCAATACAGTGTTTTCTCTAATGATTAAAGAGAAAAATAATGTACTTACTCTAGCTCCTCAAACACTTTGACCTTCTCACATCCTTCTGGTGGTTCCCGTTTAAACATGTAGCTGTTGTTCGGTTTGGGAGAAGTGGCAAACTTGGGCAGGGGGGAACTGCACACATTGTCTGAGGACACAGCAGAGACATGGGAGAATTCATCATTCATTACAGTTTTCATGCCTATGTTTTGGGCCATCAAGTTGTCCAGCTTTAAACATTAACTTACCTTTGTCGATATCCTCTGCAGAACAGGGGCTTCCATCTGAGTGGATGAGGTCAGAGCTGCAGGGGCGAGGCGATGGACTGGAGTCACCACTGGAGGGCGCTTGTGTGTCTGTGTCCCGTGTGTCCCCGCTGCTGTAGCGATGTGGAGGGAACGGAGGACGTCGGCCATCCACTACGTCCATGGCCTTAAATTAAAATAAAGAGAGAAGAAATAGAAAAGAAAATATTGTGATATCCGCACGCTAAATAAATGGACCTGGTGTTTAAATTAGGTGCATCTCCTTTAAAACAACGTGTGAGCCAACTCTAGTCTACAGGGGTCAACGATTTACGTTGGAATTCAGTTCAGATGGTGTGACATTTTTAGTACAAGTCGTAACTGCCGTACTGTAAGTGCTTATGTCACTCATGCTAACCCAGTGGTAACATCAGAATCTAGAGCAGGGGTGTCAAACTGTGGGCCAAAACTGATCCGCTATGAGGTTCAATTCGGCCCACTAGATAAATTCTGGATGTAGAAAAAGCACTTTAAAACACTTTAACTTCATAAAATTTTGTAAAATGATATTTCATTAAATATGAAGATTTCTAATACACTTGTAGTTAAAAAATGGAAAAAACATGGACTTATTGTTTCAGCCCCTGAACCAAAATGAGTTTGACACCCCTGATCTAGGACATAAAAACATCAGAAGAGCCTGCCAATACACCTGACCTACAGTAAAAACACAAGCACGCACACACAGTGTGGATTACAGAACAAACAGGTTCAAGCCAGTATTTAGCAACATTATCTTTTTTCTCTGTAGCAAAGAAATGAACCCAAACACTCTTACACATGTGGACTACAGAAGTATTTAGAGTTGTAACACACCATTACCATAAACACAAAGGAGGGAACAGAGCCTGCAGCCATAACATCCACAACTTGTATTTACAGTAGTTGAGATCAGACACGAATTTCTCTCTCAAAACAGGAAGGACAGGATGAAGATGTTGATGATGAAGTTTTTGACAACTAGGTTAATAAATTTTAATGCAAAATACTTTTTTACTCATATAATCCTACATTTTTACCCTGTTAATGGGTTTGTTAGGATTATATTTTGAATGTATTTCCAATCCGTAGGTACAACTGTACCTAATAATCTAAGGAAAAACTAAACAATCATTATTCTCGTGTCTTGACATTTTTAAAAGTAGAAAACAACTTTCAGGCTCAAAATAAATAAAGTGTTCTTACCTGTATGCCCTCCAAATCCTCTCTGATAAACACATTTTCCAGCTCGTGGTTTATTCCTTCTACGCTGCTCGGCACTCGGCACATGAAGGATTTTGGCAAAGGGATGGTGGATAAGGCTGAAGGTGATGCCTTGTACTGCAGAAGTAGAAACACAGAAACAGTCTCTCACACAGATATACACATTTAGTTTAAAAAAAAAAAAAAAACTCACACAGAATCCTACACAACTGCTGAGTGTCTGACAGCACCATCTACTGGCAGCATCAAAATGTGACAGATCCAGTTGCATTAGCTCTTTCATGGTTAGAGATTGTAAATGCGTGTTACTGTAGTGCAACTGAATATTTGAGAGGAAATGAAGACCATCAACATCATTATCATCACAGGTGATGGTTGGGGTGAATGTGTTCCACACTTGTGGATGTTGTGTACAGTTGCTAGTGGTTTGTCAATTAGTTAACTCCTGAAAAGAAGGAGAGAACATGTCCGGACATAGCGCTGTCTCCTCCTCCTCCTCCTCCTCCTGTCCTACTGTGCTTACACAGGGGACTCATTAACTCAACTTCAGAGCCACATGTGAAGTCATAATCCTCTGATCAAATATGACCCTACATAGACATATACACTGTTACAGAGAATACAACATCACCAGGAGAAGAAGAGTAAAAAACTGGATGCGGCCAAGTACAGAGATATCCTGGAAGAAAACCTCTTCCAGAGTGCTCAGGACCTCAGACTGGACCAAAGGTTCACCTTCCAACAAGACAATGACCCTAAGCACACAGCTAAAATAACGAAGGAGTGGCTTCGGAACAACTCTGTGACCATTCTTGACTGTCCCAGGCAGAGCCCTGACCTAAACCCAATTGAGCATCTCTGGAGAGACCTGAAAATGGCTGTCCACCAACATTCACCATCCAACCTGACAGAACTGGAGAGGATCTGCAAGGAAGAATGGCAGAGGATCCCCAAATCCAGGTGTGAAAAACTTGTTGCATCATTCCTAAGAAGACTCATGGCTGTACTAGCTCCAAAGGGTGCTTCTACTCAATACTGAGCAAAGGGTCTGAATACTTATGATATTTCAGTTTTTCTTTTTTAATAAATTTGCAAAAATTTCTACATTTCTGTTTTTTTCTGTCAAGATGGGGTGCTGGGTGTACATTAATGAGAAATAAAATGAAGTTTTTTTATTTTAGCAAATGGCTGCAATGAAACAAAGAGTGACAAATTTAAAGGGGTCTGAATACTTTCCGTACCCACTGTATGTGTGTATATATACACTGTGTGTATATATATATATATTATATATATGTATATATATATATATATATATATAAACACACACACACATATACATATATACACACACACATATATACATATGTGTATATATGTATATATATATATACACATATATACATATACACACACTCATATATCACAATATGATTCAATTTTACAGTATATGATCATTACACACTCTAGAAATATATCAATATTTCATCTTTTTTATTTAAATTGCTCATGACACCAGCACTCCTTTGCAATCTGCTGATAGATCCTGACCTACATATCAGGCAGCCCTGATCTAGAAAGTAAATTAAGATTTAACATTTTTAATCACACCATTACAGTTACTCCTATGAATGTCTTTTAGAAGTGAAAGCAAAACCGCAAGAACTACCCCAAAGCATTTTGAAGCACATTCATTCTATCTTTTTTTTAACAAAACCACTATTTCAAAATGACATGAAATGTAAATGACGGCCATTTTAGAGGCCAAAACAAATAGTCTTGGTGCTTTTGGTTTTTCATGTTATGGAAATTAACACCTGCTACTCTCCCATGTTGTGAAGGTAGTTCCTTCTTCCTGTATTCTTGAATTCTTCATTAAGAGAGTTAGAATTTTTAAAAATCTAAACACAGCTCCTCAGTCTTAGATTCCCCAGTAACTCACCTGTGTTTGGCACAGTGTGCTGTGCTGCGTCTGCGGTGGCAGCTGCAGTGAGCTCTGCTCCCTGTCTTTGCTCTGTCGACCAGCTTGTTTAGTGCGTTGCAACTGCAGTCTCAGCTTAGCAATCTGCTGAAAAAAAGAGAGATTGAAACAGAAAGATGACTTTAACAAATGGAGGCCTGCAGTGAAATCATGGGAGCAATATTAATGTTGACCTTTGTCACACAGTAAAATATGGCATGACCTGCTGCAGCTGCTGCAAACTAAACGAACCTTAAGGGTTGGACAGAGTGGAGAATTAATCAATGTGTCAACATATACACTTTTTTTTAACTATCCTTTTTGGGACCGCAGTTTAAGCACTTTACCAGCACTTTTAAAAGTCAGGAATTCCACATAGCATTTAACTTGGGACTGTCAGATCTAGTTACAAAATGATTCATGAGGAGTAACACTATAAAGACAATGGCTTATTTAACAACAATATTTATGTATTTAATAATAATTATTAAATATTATTATTAATATGAGTTTAAGTATTTTTATTTGTGTATAGTTAAGATAGAACTACTCCTTTTTCATCCTAATCATGTTTTTTTTTTTTATCTGTAACAGCAGAATAAAACATATGCAAAGTATCACTGCTGTTTTTGTCTCTTCCAAAAACAAAAAACAAACATTCCACACTCCAAACTGCCAACATTGTGGACCTACATAAATAAACTACCCATGAGGGCAGACACTAAACTGCAGTAGGAGAAAGAAAATAACACTTGTTGACGGGTGAGCAGCTGGTCGTAGTAAAAAACTGTTACAAAGTATCAGGTTGCTGGGTCGGCACATGTTTATGACTAGGAGCATAAGTGTTTTGTTTTTTTAGATGGAGAGTTATCGGCCCTGATACTAAAAAACATATCATTGTAACCCCAATTATAATTATAGATATTATTATACAAGAAATGTTTTTAAAAAGACAGATAAGTGTGTGGCCTGTGTGTGTGTGTGTCTATGATAAAAAGCAGCGAGTTAGTGAATTTGTCAGTGGGTGTTTCTGCCTCTGCCTGTGGCCTAGTATCAGTGTGAAAACAGGATACCCTTTGTGAGCCTGACAGACGCACTTGTGCTGTGCAGACAAAGGTGTGGTCTTCAGTACTGATCGTGTAATCCTGGCAACACAGTCAACAAAGAGAATGTCTCTTTTCATACATATTCCCTCTCTCTCTCTCGCCCTCATGTCTTCGCTCTCTCTCACACGCACACTCACTTAGAGTTCACTGCATTTAACAAAGTGACCGCAACAGTTGATAATGACAAGTCCAGACACGATCTAGAGAGCCTGAGGGGCGGGGGCATGCTGGGTTACTGATGGGAGCTCGGTCACTGCCACTATGAACGCTGAAGATAAGACTCTGTAGTTGGTAAAATCTGTTAAATGTAATAATTATCTGATTCTGGCGTTTTGCTGTGGGTAATAAAACCCAATATTACATATGCTGCATATATATTAGGCAACATGCTTGTTAATTAGATATTGTTTGATTAGATATATTACAATGACGAGGTTAAGCACATTTAAGACCTCCAGTCAGTCCTAGTGATTTGTCTTAAAGTAAAAGATACGAGGATAGGAAGACATGTTGACATTCCAAATATGCAGCCTACATGTACACAAGCCCTCAGAAGGAACTACCGTCTGAGTTAGGCAGAGGTTGCTCTCAGTCGATTTTAGATTATTTTTGATCATCCTGTCCCATCAGTTGAAAAAAAACCCCATCAATGCTGTTCTGCTTTTCTGTAAATATAGAATGAACAACATTTGTGCAAACCAAACTGTTTTCCGAAGCACATAGTTACACAAAATGTATTACAACTTTTTATATATAAGGCATTGTTTGCCCAAAGATTCCCAATTTTTTTTTTGGGGTCGCCTCACATATTTCCCAGGAATTTACGAATAACGTCTATAGAACTGGGTCGCAAAGGTTCGTGACTAAAAATATGGGTCCCCAGAAATTTTTTTTTTGAGAAATATATTTAGAAATATTAGGAACTGGACTCAAAATAATAACTTAAAATGATTACACGGTTTAAGTGCTGAGATTTCTGTTTTTAATTATAGAAATAATGATCATGTAATTTCATGATATTGCCAAACAAATACATTTGTGGTATAATTTCACAAAGCCGCCGTTCCTTTTTGAGTAATAGATTTTTAAAAGTGGACAAAAAAAAGTCCTGATGTCACTTTATGTCCTTGTTTTGTACGACTCTGTTAAATGAGGTTCTAATTAGAATTCATGCGGCACAGTTTAAAACCAGTAGATATTTTGTGACATAAGGGGAACTAGGACCTCTGACTAACCAACAGTAAACAAAATTAAACAAACTTTTGTCAGATTTGTTAACTAGACAAAGACAAAGTCCTGAATGTACTCGAGGGACTGCAGTCAGAAAAATAGGAAAGGCAGACAGACCGGGACTGTCACTGACGTGCCAGCAAAATAAAACTCTGAACGATTCCATATGTTGTCTTGTTTCATCAGCCATGTGAACAACAGCGTATTTCTGGGAACCCATACATGTCATTTACGCCCCCATGAGTATCAGAAAGTAAGAATATGGTGAGAACGTTTGTGTCAAAATCTAGTAGAATAACGTACTAGGGATTATTTTCATTATTAGTCTTGTAATCATAACAGACTTACACTGACACGTTGTTGGACATTTCAACTGTGACTTAAAATGAGTGCAGCTCTGCCAGCTGCTCTTCAAATGCAATGGGGAAAAAAACCTAGTAAATGTAATATAAATATAAAAGACTGAAACGTTGGTTCAGCTGATGAAAACCACAAAGAAAGGCTTTTATCCTGTCAAGCCATTTTATAGAAGAAAAAAACTTTTTACTGACATTTGGTAGTCTATGTAAAGACTCAAATGTTTTTTTAACATTATTTAATATCTCTGTCACTGCAGGAGGATGTGACAGCTTTCGTTTATTCTAGTTAACCTGTTGAGTTGACAGAGCATGATATAACAAAATAACAAAGCAGAACTGCCAATAAAACTGTGTGTGGTGGACAAAGTGATGTGTTTACAAAGTGACAGCAGTATGAACTGTACTACCGTATCCAGGAAACCTTTCTAAGCTAAGACTTGTACGGACAGCTCCACAATGACATTTATTGTTCAACGTCGACTAGTGGATAAGTAATTCCTGCAGCACCAGATGAGTTTGCTGAATGGAACTAGTCCATCACCTTAATTCCACCCATCTATTTTCATCCGCTAATGAACCAGGTTACCGGGTCGCGGGGGCAGCAGTCTCCACGATCGCCACCCAAATCACACTGCACCGTACCAACCCCCCTAAACCTTCATGCAGGTGGTGAGTCCACTGGAAGGGACCCACCACCCTCACTGGGATTCAATCTTGCCCAGGAGGTGAACTCCACACCAATGACAGAGACCTCTGGATAAGGTGGATGTTCAATCCTGAAATTTTGACCAAAATTGGACCAAAACTGATCCTGAGTATCGAATCGAGCCCTAGAGTGCAGAGTGTGTATATATATATATATATATACACATACATACATACATACATATACATATATATATATGTGTGTGTGTGTGTGTGTGTTCAAACTAGGCAAATATTACTTTATTGAACTGTATTTAAGTTTAACTTCCATTAAATAAAGATAAAATCAAACGTAAAACTCTGAATGAAAAGTAAAGTTTTTTGTTGCAAATAAAACATTCCAATTGAAAAACGTATGACACTATCTCCTGCTTTTGAAGAAAAACACTTTTTACAAACTGTTAACAAGTTCACATAAACAAATTTACAGACTGGCTTTTTGACTGGCTTTAACTGAATTGTGTGAACTCTTCTGAGAGTGGTTAGTGGTAATATCACATAGAGTCACCTCTTTTAATTTACAAGTTAAGGACTGCAACACTGAAAGCAAACACATGCTTTTGTGTGTGTTTTGCTGCAGTTGCATCTGGCGAGGCTTTTAAATACCATGAGTCAGTTCATTCCAAGAAGGAAGGAAAACAATATGGCTGCTACTCCCTATGAGAGGAGCCCCCATAGTATATCTCAAAAAACAACAGACCATAATGAGATGCAGGAGTGCACTTGAGTGGAAAACAGAGGGGAGAAGGAAGTTAAATTTAGACTGAGGTCTGGAAAAGATGGAGGCCTATTAGCTCAATATGGTCAGCTTGTTGGCCACCAAGCCATGGCAGACTGACAGGAGTGGAAACCCATCTTAAGGAACATAGTATTTAGGGCTGACCTCAAACCTTGACAAATAAAACACTTTTGAGTAAATGCTATGAACCTCAAAATGCAACTTGGATTAGACTGCGTGAACGTTTAAGATCACAGACCAACGGGATTGCTCTGTGGTCCAGTCCAACGTCTGTGGCATGCTTTTGAAGCAGTAACAGATCAGGGAGAACAGAAGATTATTAGAAGCAAATCTACCTCCTTGAGATGGTCGGCGCTGCCCCAGGAGGCTGAACGCTGGTGTGGACTTCCCTGTTCTGCTGCTTCGTCGTTCCAGAGACCCGGAGTCTTAAAACACACAGAAATAGACAAGTGTTACAAATCTTCAGGGCTTCAATACGTGTTTCCCATGACTAAAGCACTTTGTTGATGCAAAGAAGCCAAAAAAACAATAATTTACACCATCTTTAAAAACCAATCAAGCATGTTAATTGTAAGTGGTTTACATTTATATAACACTCCAAACACTCAAGTGTTTCCTCACATTTTAGTACGGCCATTGACACACAGTCCAAGCAGAACTAAAACAAGCAGTTTGGTGGTCTGTATTTTGCCCAGGGGCACAGTGGCATGGAAACCGTTGATCAAACCACTGTCTTTCTGTCTGTCTCTGTTTATTTTATTTAGTCTCCTTTCCTCCCTAAGGGTTAACCCAAAATGTTAAAAAAGACCAAATCTTGCAATTTCATAAAATACTAATGGACAAAACAGTAATTTTTAAAAGCGGCCTTTATATTCACAAAAAAAAGGACCGGCATGCCTCTAAACAAACATTTACCAAGATAAGGCATCACATATAAAAATCATACATCAAACAAATTTAAATGTCATTGCCTATTTCCCTAAAACTGTGGATGTGAAATAAAGATTGTTGCACGGTTAAAGGAATGATTGAGCATTGTCGAGGAAGTAAAGCTGGAAATCTGGAATCAATGTGAACAGGGAAAACAGTCGTGAGGTTTCCTCCATCCCCGAGGAGAGAATCTACATTGAGCAGGAAAAACAAAAGTCATGGAGTGTGTGACTATTTTCCATTCCACCCCGTCACTGAGGCAGGACAGGATAACTACATCTGTGGCAGGGAATGGATCGCTGTAGAACAATTTCAGGAACCCGCCTAAAGGATGCTCATTTAACAAGCCAATCAAAGCTGGAGAAAATAATTATAGGTAAGACTAATAACATAGCCCTACCTGACAATAAAACGTCCACATCGGCCACAGGTGACATTTACAAGGACTTTACCTGTAGCTGCACCTTTAGTTAATAACTGCAAAAGTAAATATTTAGCCTATTTGGAGTCAGGCCTTAGCAGGGGCATTCTTAATGATGGGGTTTCTAATGTGCATCTAGGTTCTTACAGTTTACACATATCCCAGTGATAGCTAAAAGAATGATTGTCAAGGCTAGTACTGTCAGTAGATTTTCATATTCTAACCACAAATAAGTTAAAACATAAAAAAGGTAAAGGTTAGCAACACTCAACTGGGCAGGTGTCTAGTTCTTGTTTGTTACTGTAATTGTTATTTCAAATTATATCTACAATACTACGCAAAACAGCTCCCAAACACTTCCAACTAAAGTTTAGCAGTCCTGACTGACTTAAAGTAAGCTTTAAGTCAGTCTTATTAAAAAAACACAGAAAAAGCTATCTAAATGCTAATGATTAACACTCGCTAAGAGAGGCAAATAATACATTAACATGCAATTGCCTTAATATAACTACGAATAAGTTATTAAAACTCAACAACACTAAAATCAGCTAACACGGCTAAGTCATTGTTTAAAACAATTTTTATGCCAAACATTCCACTGGAAATTTCTAAAAATGCCATAAAGCAGGGACAACTTTTAGTCTGTTAAATACTGAATATTAGCCAACATTGGTACGTCCCCCCCCAAAAACGTTTACACAAAAAAAACAAAAGAAAACAACCAACTACTAGCATAAACTAATGAGCTCAAAGCTAGCTTAATACAGATACAATGAAAACAGAAAAACTATCCAAAATTCAATCCTAGAACTAAATACCTCACATCAGTTTGGAAATATAAAAACATCGAACAGCATGTAAATGGTTTTACTCAGAGGTTTTGTGACAAGGACAGACGCAGTTTAGTCCAACTTTGAAAACCTCTGCAGTTAAAAGTCAACGTTCAAGATATGCAAATAAATGTAAAAACAGAGAGACTGTGTCTGTTTTGAAACTAAAGACTTCCTCCTGATTATTCAAATCAACAGGGGCTTTTGGTACTCGGACAGATCCTCTAAAGATCAAATGTTGCACTGGTCAGCACTGTGCTACATCCAAAATGTCATCGTGTTCTTACAGCCTCATTTCTGACCCCACACAGACAAAAAACTCTCTATCGATTCTCCAGCTAATGCACAAGACTTGCCCTATGATGTGGACTACAACACTGGATGACAAGGAACACCAGCCTTTTGCTAAAACCCTGTGGTGCTAGTTTCCCTCCCACCAGGGAAGGACCAAGAAGATTTAACCGGCTACTTGTGCTCTCATAAAAGGGACCACTATGCTTTGGCCGATTTGCGTGGCAGATGTGATGCTAGCCTTTAGCATTAACATTTAGTGCATGGCCTCATTGAATGGCTTGTTTCGTGTTTGATGCATCTGCCAAATGCTAAGGGACTGGAGGCAGCGGCCACGTCCATTCATACGGTGCATGGTAGAGATGGCTGTAAAAGGGTAGGAATGGCTTTATGGAGCAGTTAACTTCACTGTAGCAGGAAAAACTAAGTTCTCACAGATGTTTCTATGACGTCAAGCAGACAAAAGACCCTCACTACTGGTATCTCAATGTTAAACACTTGTAATTGGCAGCAAGTGGTTCCATAGAGCTGCGCATGTCTGAGACAGTGAGGCGATAGGGATGAAGATTGGGGTTCAAAAGTTGAGACTCTTTTATTGACAAATCGTTTGTTTCATGCTAAGTGAGATAAAGCAAGAGTTTCGCTTATCTTCAGAATGTGTATTTGTTTTTTTAATCATTTTTCCAGATGTAGAATTTCACATGATTACATAAATTTGTGACTGTTATCATTACATTCATCCATCCATCGGGGAACGGGCTGGAGCCAATCCCAGCTGACAATGGCGGGGGGGTGAGGGAGGGATAAAGTGAAATGTGAATGATGATGCGCTTGCACTGGCAGAGAGGCATTATTCAATACTTATTACTCATTCATTTTTTACTGTTGTCTAGTGTAGCAGTGCGTTTCAACCATGCTTCTGTCAGTGTCTTCTACAAACAAACAGACTAAAACACAAGATGTACTTTCATATTATTTCTGAGGTGTCCTATTTTTTGCTTTTTGTATTTCTCTTTACTCTTATGGTTGGGCAATCAACAACACATAGCCAACTTCTTAACAACTAAAAAGATTCAAACATGGTACAGCCAAGCAGAATGGTGAAAACATTGTGTTGACACGTTTTATCAATGTTGTGTGAACTTGTTAAATCGTGGTCTAGATGTGACTGACAATCATTTTTACTGAGAAGTGAAATGCTAAGTGAACTGAAAAGAGCTTGCAAGGTTTCAACATGCCAAAACACCAACAT